ACTAACTCATTCATACACATTCAGACACCGATGCACAGTATAGAACACAGATCAACCATAACATTCTGACCACCTGGGCACCCTGGTGTTGTGGTTGATCGGTGTACATCAAGCTTAAGTGCAGCTCAAACCATGAAGAATAATATTTATTATTTTGCTGTTGTCTTTATCTCAACTCTGTTCTATGTTCCTGACATTGGGGACAAAAACCTTTTTGTGAGACTTTTGGTAAAGCTGGTCGATGTTATGATAGACCATTCCTCTCCCCTCTAACATGACATGAGTGAACTCTTGTGTAGTGATGTTTTTCCTGTTTGTGAAAGGTGTTGGTAACATAAATGAACAGGTAGAATAAAATTATGATGGAGTGAATGAGGCCATGTGGTGCTGGTGTCGGTGGGGGCGTTGGGATGTTCTGTCATACAAGAAGGTGACAGTTCAGGCTACATGTGTTATGTAACACAGCTCGTACCTTTTGCCACTAAGGATTTACATAAGTAATATGTGTTTTTCCTGCTGACAGCAGCCTCATTGAGATTCACATGAATAATTTAGGATTATTCTGAGAGAGCAGAGCGAGGTGTTGTTTGGCTCACGCTGACTTTGTTACTTATTGGTGAGGCGACTGAGTTGTGAATTCTAATCTGTTGATAGGGCTATTGGCTTTGTTCTTGTGCAGATATGTAATAAAGGCTGCACTGGTACTACCCAGCATGGATACAATGGTTGTAATAATCCATCACAATGAGAATGGCATGTATTGTTTAGTAAAGGGTATAGCTAACCATAAATGTTGGAGCTTTTAGTTATCTCAAAAATTCCTCGAAGTGTGCATTGAATTGTATGTGATATCTAGTTTACTGTACCATATAATGTTAATGACATCACATATGCTCTGATATTAGTTCATGCTGTGATTACTTGTAATTACAGTTTCTCACTGCAGTCCTTATTTTCATCAGGCCAATTATGATCAAAGTGAACTGGATGAGAGGATGAGCAACTGCAGCAGAGACTCAGGCTGTTCTACATGCAGTCCCCACCTGCAAACCAAATACATTTCAAAAGCAGCTCAAGCTCAGATTTTTTGTCTTAAAGGGGTGTTTCATAAAGAAGGTTCAGAAAAGCAGGGCTTGCTGTGAAAAGATTTGAATGGGGATGAACCAGGACGAAGAAACTAATTTAGCTAATTCAAGCTTGGTTTAGATGTTCATAACTTTAAATGATAAGTGATATTCTGTATGTTCCAACCGCCTACCATCAGCTCAACAACCAATGATTGCTGACATCTTTGCGCAATTCACTTTCATTAATTCATTGAAGTCGCAACACAGTGGAAAAAGCCACAACTCAAATGCAAAAGTCACACTTACTATGGTAACGGGCAACAACTTTCCTCTTCCACACATCAGGAGTCAATAAGTCCGCCGCTAATAACAGTCTGCAACAGTTTGTTGTCAACATCCATTGTCACTGACTTCCATTGTGTTGTGAGTATTTGTGTTGTGACTTTTTCATTTGTGTTGTGGCTTTTCCGTTGTGTTGTGGATTTTCCATTGTGTTGTGGATTTTCCATTGTGTTGTGGATTTTTGCTGATACCTCTCGGCCATCATATTAACCACATCTTGAGTCCAGCTCTGTACTTTAAAGGTCCAATGTGTAACATTTAGGACGATGTATTGACAGGAATGGAATATGCTTGTTTTCATTAGTGTATCACCTGAAAATAAGAATCATTCTAACCTTAGAATGACAGAGGGAGCAGGTCCTCCACGTTGAACTGCCATGTTTCTACAGTACCCCAGAATGGACAAATCAAACACTGGCTCTAAATGGGGCCTTTTCTGTGAGTTTTGCGGCCACCAGAGTTTTCTCTGGGAGGGTGAGGCGAGGACGTTGCAATCAGTCAGTATACCGCTAGATGCCACTAAATCGGACCAGTGTGAAGTTGTAGATTACAACCCCTTCGCCTCATCCCCCTGTTCCAAGCATGTAGGAGAAACTACAATGGCCAGTAGATCCTAAATCTAACACACTGGACCTTTAACACAGGAGATTGCTATCAATCTTCTCCCTTCACTCAGAAAGAAAGTGAATACAGTATTTTCCAAAATGTCATCTCATTTTAAAAAGTACAAATCATCAACGTGGAGGGTATGATCAAATGCCACACTGAAAGAACAAAGTTTATGGGTTTTTCAGTGACATGAACTCAGCAACGATTTAATTCTGACCTGAACATAAGCGCCATAAAGGGGGTTAATGTCTGTTATTAGTGTGTTTTATGACTGACTGGGAGGAAGTGCAGTCACTCAACCATCCTCCTATTTACTAATCAGCAACATAAAAGCTATTAGTGCCTCCACTGGTGCTAGATCAAATTAACATTTAGAGACACACACTCAGACGCTCATTGCTAATGTAATTATTGGTCAAGAACCAGAGAGCTGTGTGTGTGGGTCTGTGTGTGTGGTCCTGCTGTTTAAAATGTACTGGAGTTTCTGCTTGAACTGGATGATCCAGGCTAAACTCTATTGGAAACTATCTTGTTGTGCAGCACCATTAACTTTTCTCGCCCCATGTACAGTACTTGAGTGCAGTTTGTTAGCAGCGCCGCTGTAATTAAACACAGCGAGTATGACCTCATCCAGACTGCTGCTGAAGTGCTCTCCCTATTAGATTATATGCAGTCAGCTGAAGGGCCGTGTCTCAGTGACATCTCCATAGATCAATGGGAAACCGACACCCACAAACCATGTCTACAAGCCAAATAACAGCCAGCATTTGCTCTTTCAATTGCATTACAGAGGAGGCTACTGATAGCTCATTAGTCATCAGTGTCATGTCAATACCAAGGGCAGGTCATCCCAGCAATCATCTGACAACAAGTTCAACATCAGACAAATAACCTGTATTCAACATTTTAAACCCAAGGACCCTGTAATTGATAGAGAGATGGACCAGGGACCCTCTACTATACACACACCGATCAGCCATAAGATTGTGAGCACTGACAGGTGAAGTGAATAACACCGATTATTTGGTTATCTTGGCACCGGTCAGTGGGTGGGATATATCAGGCAGCAAATGAACATTTTGTTAGAAGCAGGAAAAAGTGTGATGATTACAGCAACTTTGACAGTTACTAAACTAATTAGCTTGTTAATGCTGTTTCTGATAGAAAGGTGTCAGAACACACAATCCATTGCAGTTTGTTGTGTATGGGGCTGTGTAGCCACAGACCAGTCAGGGTGCCCAGTCAGTCATAATGTTATGGATG